CATCGTTCGCGAGGTTCGACATCGAATAGGCGCGTATCGAGCCGAGGCCCGGCAGCGACAACAGCGCATACTGGCCGGGCAGGAACGCCGCCGGCCGGTCGCTGCGGAAGCGGAACTCGCGCATGTCGTGGGTCAGATCCTCGACCCGCACCAGGGTCGCGCTCACGCGCGCGGGCAAGGGCGCCTCGTCGGTCTCGCCCCGGCCTATCATCTTGATGCGGCAATCCGAGACCGGGCGCGACTGGCAGGCCAGGTGACGCTTGCGCCCGCGATCGCGATCGGTGATCCCGGGCGATGCCGGCCACAGGTCGACGATCTCGCCCTCGACCAGCTCGAACTTGCAACTGCCGCAGCCGCCCACGTTGCATTCGTAGGGCAGCGGCAGGCCGGCGCGCAGGCCCGCCCGCAGCACGACATCGTCGTCGGCACACTCGAAGGCGGCGCCGAGCCGCTCCTCAGCGATCCGGTACGTCACGGAGCGGCCTAGTCCAGCCGCCGCGACATGGCGTCATGCAGCTTCGCAAGACGGCCCGGCCCCACGAAGTTGCCGTCCTTCACGAGCTGGACGTCGCCAACCCACAGCGACTGGTCGAGGACGATGCCGTCGGGGTGGTTCTCGCCACCGCCCGGCTCCCACCAGGGCAGGCCCATGCCGATCGCGTTGGAGCCTGGAATGCGGATGTCCTCGATGAACTGCCGCTCGGTCAGCATCGTGCCGGGATGGAAGCCCAGCGTGAAATGCACGAAGTAGCCAAAGTCGTCCTTGCCGCCGGCGCGGCGCAGCGCCCGTCCGAAACTCGGCCGGTCCTCGGTGCCGCCGCCGCTGAAGCCCTTGATCTTGCCGTCGACCTCGATGGTGATCGGCTGCCGGAGCTTGCGATAATATTCGTCGAACAGCGCCTGGATGACGATCCTGCCCTTCACGCTCTCCATCACCGGATAGAAGCTCTGCGTGCCGGGCACCGTATTCATGCCCGGACTCTGGCAGACGCGCTGGCGGATCATCTTGAGCTTGTCGAGCGTCAGCGTGACGTCGGTGCCGTGCGGACAGGTGAAGCGCACCTGCTGACCGGCCGCCTCGGCAAAGAACTCCGCCAGAGCGACGTTGAAATCCATCATCGCCGGGAAATCGACGCAGCCATAGAGGCGCTCGAAGCTGTCGGCCTCGGCCAGCGCCAGCAGCGCGTAGCGACAGCGGTTGGCGTCCATCGCCGCGGAGTGCGCACCCGAACCGGCGTGATAGGGAAAGCAGAAGTCGAACCAGACGTCGCAGGCGATCGCCGCCGCCTTGAGTGCATCGGACACGTAAGGGTCCGCGAGCCCGCCCTGGAACGGCAGTTGCGGCGCGATCGCGACCAGCGGTTTGCCCCCGGCCTGGATCACCGTATCGGCCACGGCCTGGATGAGCCTGCTTTCGGTCGAGGTGTCGGCGGTGATCAGCACGGTCTCGCCATTGCCGACCGCGAAGTGCTTGTTGACCAGATTATCGGCCGCGCGCAGCAGCCGCTTCGACGTGAACATGGGCACTCCCTTGGCTGGCGAGCTCAGGCGGTTTCGACGGTCACACGCGTAGGCCGCGGCATGGTGAACGTCTCGCGCACCACGGCATATTCCTGGTAGCCGAGCCGTGCGATCGGCTCGAGCCGGTCGATCTTCAACAGCCCGTCCTGCAGGAGATCGTCGCGGATATGGACGCCCAGCACCTCGC